GGGCTCCCTGCATGGGGCCTGCTTCTTCCTCTGCCTGTGTCTCTGCCTCTTTGTGTGTGTGTGTCTCTCATGAATAAATAGATTTTAAAAATCTTTTAAAAAATTAAAAAAAATTAAAAAGAACAGATCATGAAAAGTCTGAATTCCTGAAGAAAAATGAAAGGGATAGCCCTGAGCAGGTATAAGGCAACTGAGGTGTCTACAACCCAATCTGCTCACTTTGTAGACAAAAGAGGATGATAAACTAGTAAGATTTTTTTTTCTAAGGAGAAAATGTAGTAGAGTGGAAAATAATAAATGGATCTGACATCAATTGAAGTTGGGTTCAAATCTAACTTTGGTCACTTAATGGTTTTGTGACTTTGGAAAAATGGCTTAACATCTGAGCTTCAATGTACTGATCTCAAAAACAAAAAGAACACTGCCTTGTGTGATGGTATTCCATGACTGCAAAATACTAAGAATGCTTGACCTACAGCAGGTGCTCAGAGAATTATGATTGTTAACACTATGATTGTCATCACTTAAATTTTAATTTTTCCTTATTAAGTATTTTAATGCTAAAAAAAAAAATAACTTCACCATAGGTCCCGTCCCCTCAACTGAGTTTTGCAGTGTGTTACATAGAGTGTGCTAAATGTGGTCCCTAACAGAGGAATAATGGTAATATACCAGAGACTCTCTTGCTTCTCCTGAAAAACACAAAAGCATCCCTTAGTCCTTCCTCTTCAAGAAAGACAGACTACTTACTGTAACCATTAGAATCAACTCTCCCAAAAAAGCACACTGGCAATGGCAATCTTTGCTTCAGGCAAGTAGATCACTCATTAAAATTTTTATTTCTACCTGAAAATTCATTTTCTCTTCAAATGGCTTTTTTCTCCTCCAGAATCTTTCACTGGGAATGAACTAACTTCTAACACTGAGTTCCTTATGAACCAGTAGTAGCTTCCTGAGTCAAGGAGCTTTCTGTCCACCACAACAATGGAAAGTTAAATGATTAATTTGCATCTTTCTAGCAATGTGAGAAGAGTCCTGGCTGTGGACCCAGCAGTCTGTTCAAGGACAGGTGGACTAGGCTTCCTGACGTTCCTTCAGCTTCATTTGCCGCCTTTCTAGTAAGAATCTGCAAACAATTTACAGAAGGGGCAAACAAAGTTTGCTGGCTTCCTTTGCCTGTCTTGTAATTTGGCAATATCCTCTGGGCTCAGATGACCAGGTTCCTCTCTTCTAAATCGTTAGTCCTTTCCCATTTCCGCAGAACAAAAGCCTGAAATTCTCCCATAGAGCTCTAGGATGCAGATTCATTCATTTGTTCAACAAATATTTACTGAATATCGACTCTGTGCCAAATACTGTTTTAGATAGTAAAAACGAGAGTCCCAGACCTTTTGGATCTTGCACTGTAATAGGGGAGAAATATCTATAAAGGTAACTGAAACAGTTTACAATGTCTACATCTATTAATCATTTAAACTTCCAGTAAGATATAAATCCAAGAGCCAGTTCTATGGGCAAGGTGAACTGAACGGGAGAATAATAAGGAAGGGAAATGAGATTTTGGGAGACTAACTTCCTGTGCTTTATTTATTTATTTATTTATTTATTTATTTTTGCCTTTAAAATAGAAATGGTTGCTCAGCCTTCTTACTCACAGGCCCCTATAAGGCAACTATATTCTTTACCTAGTGCAAACAGGAGCAGGGGTACCCTGAATACATGTATATCAAGTGCAGTGACAGTGGGGGAATGTGTAATAATGCTTCAGGAAATGAGTTTTTTAACAAAAAATCAAATGGAACATGGGTGGCCTCAGCTCAGCGCCTTCAGGTGCAATGGCCTTCATATTTTAGATCATGGCGAAGAGGAGAGCATATCTGATATGCTTTAGGTGGTATCTGCCAGCAAAAAGTCTGAGTTTCAATTAAAATATTTAATTCTGTAAGACCCACCAAAAATAGATGGAAAGCCAGAATAGAGGAGATAAAACCTGTTCATGTTTTCGTATAATGTTGTGTCAGTTTTCTCTGGTACAATTTCTACATCTCAGTAGAGATAAAATAATACCAAGCTAATCCCCACCCCCAACTCACATTTTTAAAAATAAAAAATAGCTTAAAAATAAAAGCAGTGCAGTAGTAGTTCCTTTTGAAGGCTCTTGCCAGGGAAGAGAGCACAAGGGAAGTTCTGGAGTGATGGATATATTCTAAATCTGGATTTGGGCGATTTTTAGATGGGTGGATAAAGACGTAAAAAGTCATTATGCTGTAACTTAAGATTTGTATGTTTTTACTGTGTTTAATATATACTCCAATAAAGAAGGAAAACGTAAGTAGAGGGCAAGTCTGAATTTTAGGCCTGCAGATGTGTGGTAAACAAGACACCAGAAATGATGGGCCCTGTGACCCATGAAGGAATTGGTTAGGTCTTTACAGTCTCTTCCCATTTGCTCAGCTAATGACAGGATTTAGCCAACTAGGAACTGTTAACTTTTCTCCTTGTATAGGTGCCCACTGGGTTCTAACACAAAACCTATCTAGGAAGGAAATTAGAAAAACAAATGAGGATGAAGGAAAATACTGGTTGAATTCTCAGATGAGACAAAATTCGGAAATAGATTCATGCTTGTTGGGAATTTCTCTCAATGGGGTTTTCCATACTGTTCACAGTATTGACCCTAAGAATTCTGGGTCTCTGCAGGATTGTGAGATCTTCCACAAAGGCAGAAATAACTGTATGTGAGGCCTCTTCTTCCTAAATAAATGTGAAAAGTTCACTTCAGAAAAGAATCATATTCAGCAAGCCTATGGTTAAGAATATGAAGATTAGGCTATTTCCAACAGCAAATGGAATACAGTTGAATTATATGTTGCATATTTTTAAAATCTACATTCATTTCTACTATTCTTATTTTCTAACTTCTCAAAAGTAAACTTTTCAAAATTTTCAGAGTTTCTGATTTTGATTCACTTAAATTATGTACATGCCCCTGTTTTTGTATGATGAACATAGTTTTGTTTGATGAAAATATTTCCATTTTAAAAATAGGAGAGAATATATAGATCATCATTGTGTTAATAACAAATCCTGCTGAAGTCTTTTCCCCTTAATAAAGTGCCAGGTTTTTAGAAATTTTTATTTTGATTATTTTACTCAATCCTTAAAGAGTTCATGCTCAGTATTATTATTTTCCAAAAATAAAGTGTTCATGATGTAGAAAAAATGAAATATCTATATCTACATTTATATATATATCTCTAAATGAACTCTACAATTGACAAAAATTACATTTCCTGTCTAAAATGCTATTTTTAAGTCAGTTGTTTAGAACTCAAAACTATTTTTTTCCTTTAGAAAACATGGTATTTGTGTTTTCAGAACAGCCCACAGAAGCTAGGTAATTTGTTTAGCAATGAAGGTGAAATACTGGATGTTTATGGCAAAATTTTAATAATAATAAAATAAAGCAAAGGATTACTGAATAAAACAAAATTTTATAATTTTACCTTTCAACTATTATTTGAAAACAGGCATGTTTAATTACGTGAAGATGGGCATCTTCAAATAACTTAAACTTGTCAACACAGATAACAGAAAATAAAGAGTAAAAACAAAATATGAATTATACCACCAAACTGAAATACCTACTTTTAACATAGTGCTGTGTTTATTTCCAAGACTGAACATATCTCTACATAATTGAGATTATAATGCACTGTTTTGTATCCTGCTTTTCCCAATCATTCTTGTAGTTTAACAATTTTGAAGATAGTTGGCATAGATTCTTCACCTAATCTTACTTCAAATCCCAAACATTCTTCCTTTAATATAAGTGCGCCACGACTTTTTGTTTTGTCTTGGTTTGCATGGAATGTATAAAATGAAGCAGAGAAAGGAAGGAGAAGGGAACCAGGAGAGGAGAGCAAGAATAAGCATGACAGTAAGAGGAGTGTAGGTGAGGATTCTATGCATATAAAAGATGTCTGAGAGAAAATGAACAGAATTTGGAGCAGCGAACTTTAGAATAACAGGGATGCTCATATTAGAGCAAAATGGGAATAAGCATCATTTTATCCTACTCCATCATTTGATAAGGAGATGAATGTTTATTAAGTTTAAGGTCTTACTGAGGGGACAGAGTGTTTTAGGCGATACTGGGAAGGGAACCCAGATCTGCCAATTCTCAATTTCCTTCCTCACATTTCTGAGGTATAGAAAAATTGAAGAAGAAGAGGTGTACACTAGCTCTTTGAGGAATAAACAACCAAGTGGTGGAAGAGAGATAGCAGCTCAATCAATATCCTGGTCCAAGGCATGGTCAGAGCTGACTGGAGTTCTGAAAAGTTAAGGAAAGAGAAAAGGAGGAGCAGAGTAGCCTTTCTTTGGTGTGGAGAGGTGAAGACTATGTATTTGCTACCATCCTTAAATGTTTTTCTTCAACTCAAGCATGACTTGCTTTAGATTTGTCAAAATTCTAGAATAAGTGCTACAATATATCATTAACCTATCCATGTGGATTAGCAAATGAAGAGGTAAGGATTTGGCCATCTGATGGAAAGAGAACCAATGCTCATCACAACCAATTATGCTTATCACATCATTTATTGTCCTTAAAGCAAAGTCCACATGTCCCAAAGTATAACCCTAAAATAGTATAAACTTTATGTCTTTTGGACATCAGTGTGGATAAGAACCCACTATTGTCATATTACACTATTTTCCAGTGTTCTTGCTGATTCTAGAATAAACTTGAGATCACTGAGGCTGGGAAATGGGAAATAGAGAGTAGGAGTTATAATGAAATTCTATAATATTCGTAAAATTTACCAATGACTACTTGTTCACTTGAAAAATAGAAAGCATTGCCCTGAGTGGAGCTTAGATTTCATTATTTGAATGAGTGTCACTTTGTTTAATGCCAAATATCCTGTTGGTTTGTTTCTCGAGAATCAGACCTCGCAGATCTAAAACTTGTTTTTAATTTCTTTTTCCTTGCTAAGACTCACCTTGACCTTATCCTGTCCCATGGACTTGAAGAATTTTCCAATGGATGTCCAGACTTGTACAATGCAGCTGGAGAGTTGTAAGTCCCCACTGCTGAAATGACTGCCTGCTTGTTTTAACCGATGACCTGGTTCTTTTAGTATGTCATTATGAAGAAAGGACCCATAAGACTCATTCTCTACCTATTAGCAACTCCCAAGGCCCTAATGGAAGGACAAGCAAGTGTGCATGTCTCAGACACAGACAATCTTTCAAGTAAAATGCCAAATAACTCGCCCTTCCTCAAAAAGCAAACCTGATTTAATAGCTTTTATTTGAAATGAAAATGTGTCCTGGGAAAATTAAGATTATTAGTCATTCAATCTCTAAAATGAGTCACACTCTCATCAGAAAATTGTATTTCTGTCTCATGCTCATTAGACCACCACCCCAAAGGAACTTTGGCAGGAAGGGATAATTGATTTGAGGACAGGATTCAGGGACCTTAGCCAAAAGAGGATGCAAGAACAGGGGGCCAGAGATGATATGGAAGAAAAGGCATTTCCCTTAGATGGGCAGTGAATCCACAAAGGCTAGAGAAATGCTATCTACTTTGTCCCCTTTATGCCTTAGCCCTAATGTCACTGAAATCTTTGACACGTGCCAGAAGTTGTTGATGCCTCCAAGGTAATGGGATTTTTAGGCAATAGACATGAAATTTTTTCTGGCTTGCTCTGTCACTTTCTCTGTTTGTAAAGTGCAGAGAATAATAAGGCGACTGACCTACAGGGATGTTAGGAGATTTAATGAGGCAAGGGCAAGGAAATACTTTTAACTTCTTGGTTTAGAAAAATAATAAAAATAAAAAGACATGTCAACTATTATTAAAAAAGAGGCAGTGACAGGGTTTCCTTCTGATCACTTAAAATCATTGTAGATTTCCCTTGAAACTCCCTATAGAAATAAACAAAATAATGAAATGTCTTTGTTTTAAGAAGTTGTCAGGGATAAAATGAGAATTTCTGATTTACAATAGGCTTTATGTATTTATTTTTTTCCCTATTGCCCCTTCTCTTGAGAAGAAGTTGAGAAAAACATTTTCTTATATAATGGTTCTTTGTGTCTTCTCTACTGCTTCAAACTCTCTCCTGCCTCAACCCAACACTTACTTTCTCTGTAAAACAGCAAGCATGGCTGTCATCTGAGGCTCCTCCAAGACTTAAAAAGCTCCAATTAGTAAATACGCTTGGCCCTTGCAGGCCCTTGAAGTAATGAAATCAAAGCAGCAGCAAAGCATTTACCACTAACTTTAAATGGAAAGGGTGGGAATTATCCCTTTCTTTTTCATCCTCATATTACTTACTTCTTCCTTCCCCATCTCTTTGCCTCTTCTGTCTGCCCCAGTCCAGGACTTCAGTATGGCTGGAAATAACTGCTATTGTGGTGACCAGTAAGAAGCTGGCCAGATAAGGATATAGGATTACAAGGATATGGGGATATAAGGTTCTCGCATTTGTTGGAACCCCCCCCCCCAAAAAAAAGACCCAACAAGTACTCATATAGTGTTGCAGTACAAAAGACAGAGTTGGCCATTCTCTTTGTGGAACACCAATGCTTGTACAGGGTCCTCTTTGCAATTCCTTGCTTTCCATGTTTTATTTTTGGCTTTGAATAGAAAAGGTGGCTCAAAGAAAGAGGAAAGTAGATTCCAATTAACTCTGTCATTGATTTCTGGGTAGCTTTGGTGAGTCACTCTCTTGCAGTAAACAAGAATCCATAAACTTAATAAATATGCTGAAGTTACTGGCCAGCCAAGAACTCACATAATATCCCTTGTCCTTCTCATTTTTATTTTAGAGTTCAAATATTACAAAGAAGGGAGAGAAATGATGCCTGAAGGAACAGCAGTCTTCATTTCTGGGGTGCAAAGAGATCCAGAAGCACTTAACAGATAATGACCCAGTTAGCAGGAGCTTGGAAACCAAGAGCTAACTCTTGTTTACTAAACTGATAGCAGTCTTACTCTGCATGGTTCAAGAGTCATATAATAATATGACCTTACATAATGGAGAGTATGTTTTACTCCATATTAAACATTGTGATGAGGGGGCCAATGAGCAAGATACTAGCACAAATGAATATTCTTGATTTGTATTATTCTACAGCTTCCTTTTAGGTTACCTGCCTACACCTTTCCCACTTGGTAAAATAACAGGATTGACCATATGAACTTTAACATAAGTTTTTTGAAAACAAAGCTAATATATCCTAGAGAAGGGGCCAAGCTTGCAATTGGAGTGTTTTAGGTAGGACTGTGATGAATTTAATAAAAAAAAAAGAATGCTTTTTCATTTGAAATACTACGACTGGTGCCATGAATTGGATTATTTTGCTGGATAGTCACAGACACAGCTCTTTCAAGTAAAGACAACCTTCAAATGATTTTTCTGTTTATTTACTTATTTTTCAGAAAGATTTAGTAAATAAAGAGGGCAGAAGAAAATAGACTTTATAGATTCCATTCTCCCATTACACAGAAAAAAATCATTCAGAAATAGCTTGCTCTTTTCAATTTCTTTGGTTCTAATAATATGTAGTTGTCATGATGATTGTAGCTCTTTTACTAAAAATGCTTTTAAATTGATTATGTGTCTGCTTTAGATGGTTTCCTTGTTTGTTCTTTACATGGCTAAACTTTCAAGCTTTCTTGGAAAGATGCATTAATTTTTCACTATGATTTGTTTACTACAGTTGGGTATACAATGAATGACCTGATATTTGAGTGGTTAAGCGATGGTCCAGTTCAAGTTGCTGAAGGACTGACCCTGCCTCAGTTTATTTTGAAAGAAGAGAAGGAACTTGGCTATTGCACAAAGCACTATAACACTGGTAAGTTTACTGTCAGCTGCTACACCCAAGTGGGCTCTATCTGCAGCGTGAGGTATATATCACATCACCTTAACTGCTATATCTTTACCAAGAAAATGGAGCTACAAGGCACAGACCTTGGCTCAATACCCCCTTTACAGATAAGATACCTGTAACCTCTGGAATAAGTCAGTGAACACAATAGAGAATTTCTCCCAAAATGGAGAGAGAAAGAAAAAGATTTGGGATTCTTTTGCTGTTCCCTTGCTGACCATCTGCTGTCAAATGAGTCCAAGGAAATGTATGTGAAATCTTCTATATAGTGCTGGAAATGTGTAAATTCTGGCCTGTTCCTGTATCCACTCTTGACATTGGATCCTCAGATCAGTTTGTATTCTCTGACTTAGTGGAAGAGAAGAATAACCACATAGATCTTTGTAAACCCAGAAATTCAGTTGCTGTGCTCTTCAGTCCTGCAGTGATAAGAATTTGGATGAAAACCAGCTGGTGGGAATTCAGCTGGCTCTAAAGTCACGCACTGTCAGTAGTGCTGATAGACACGCAGGCCAGAGGGAGAATATGAGGTGGTAGTAACTAGTGGGCATATGTTGTTACCTGGAAGATCATGCCTGCCCAGTAAAGTTGATGGATTTTCCTATGAATGTCCCAGTCTTTGATATCACACAAGCTGATCATAGAGAGGCAAACTAGTACGATGGTTTATTCAGAGACTGCTCCAGGTCCTTTGCTAAATAGAATGTTGATGAACACTTACTCCTATAGTCAACAGTGCTTCTTATGAAGTGACCAAAATCTGATTCTGATGTATTTTTCCTGACCAAGAGGAATCCAACCCTATCTCTCATAATTTGTGTAGACTAAGCCAAATTACCTTCTAGGATTCTGTCTCTAAACCAATTAAAGAGGAAGAAAAGTGGCAAGACACATCTGTCTCATAATAGTATGTCAGAGGTTTTAATATCTTTGAATGCACTCTTTTTTTTATAAGTAATGTAACATTGTAAACAGATTTTAGGAATATTCTAAATGTCCTCAAGCAATTACCCAGAAAGCTAGGAAACTGTTACGATGATTAGATTATATGCATGGCATATACAAATGTACATTTTTCTCTTATTATGGATAGCACAAAGATAGATACACAATTATCCAAATATTTGGAGAGCCCCATGTGAACTTTACTATTTTCAACTGTTACATATTATGTGTTATATACTATATACTATACATATATGCTGCATGTTACTTATTGTATATTACAATATTATATATTACAACCTCACAAAATGTGAATATTTCTACTGGTCAGTTTCTGACAGTCTTGCAAATTCAGAAGCTCTGTCTAAATAACCAAACTACAAGCACAGATTTAGAAAATTAAATATGCCACACGTTTGGCCCAGTGATTCTTTATTTTTTAAGTAAGATTAAGATTCTTTATTTTTTAAGTTTTTAAGCATGGAGCCCAATGCAGGGCTTGAACTCACAACCCCGAGATCCAGATCTGAGCTGAGATCAAGAGTCAGACACTTAACTGACTTAGCCACCCAGACGCCCTTTAGTTCAGTGACTCTTTAGATCACACATTCTCACAACTATTAATTCTATTACTGGTTGAATTGAAAAAGAGTCAAGGATTGGTTATGCAGGGTGAGCATTTTATGCAATCTTCTAAATCCATCTGAAATACTCTTAAAAACTAAATAGTGGGAGGCTAGAATGGGAAAGATATATTTGAATTGGATTTTAAATCATTATTCCCTGCTTTCAGGAAAGTTTACCTGCATCGAGGTTAAGTTTCACCTGGAACGCCAGATGGGATACTATTTGATCCAGATGTACATCCCCAGTCTGTTGATAGTCATTTTGTCTTGGGTCTCCTTCTGGATAAACATGGATGCAGCCCCTGCTAGGGTTGCACTGGGCATCACCACCGTCCTAACGATGACCACCCAGAGTTCAGGTTCTAGGGCATCTCTGCCAAAGGTAAGAAATCGCCTCACTTGACAATAAGTGATGGGGGTGGGGTGGAGGGGTGCAACCAAAGGTGGTTGTCAAAGGTCTTGTGGGCTGGAGAATTCTGTGAAGACAGAAACGTTTGCCATCCTGTGGTACTGTTGGAAGTGCAATGCAATAAGAGAATGAAGAGCTGAGTTTGAGAGAATTAGAGCTCTGAGGACATGGGGGTCTTTCCTAATCAGATCAATTAGGGGAGAGGGGAATCAGAGATGAGAGAAGAAGGATGAGTGGAGGCAGAAACATGGCTCAGGAATCATATCTAAGAAGCCCTTGAGTGCTTTTGACCTCATGCTGTTCACAAACCATGAAGCTTGCAGGAATTAGAGTAAGATTGATGCAACTTATGCCGTATTGTCAAGTATTTATTGGTGAGGCTATTATGATTCATATGCTCAGTGAAGTCATTTACAGTAATAAAAGTTTGAATTAAGCCCCTGGAAATTTATACAGAAAAGCCATGTCAAAGAGAATATATAAGAAATAAATATGAATATTAGAGTACACCAAATCAGATACATGAATCTTTGCTATTCCTTAATTTGCCTTAATGGCTGACACATCATTATTTTCAAGTGACATAGTTACCTAGAGAAGGAACTGTGGAACCATCCAAGATGGTGAAAATTCTGACAACTATGGCAAATGGACAGAGAAGCGTGAGATGGATAACAGGTACACAGAGACATTTCATAGCACTTCAAATAATAATCCACAATGGCTGTATAATTTATTTTGATGTAAGGGCAAGCCCTCTATATTTGTAAATACTGCTTAAGCAAGCAATGGTAAATGTCCTGTTTGTGAAATGTCCCAGCACCCCAGAAGTGTGCCTCTGTGTGTTTCCTTTTCACTGAGTACTTTGAGCCGCTGGCTTCAATTTTCCAGGAGTGTGAGTTCAATTTAGTATTCACTGTACACTGTCTCATATTGGTTGAGCAGTCTCTCCAAAAACCTAGTTCCAGGAAATAATTGAGGTATAATCCCCTATCTTTGCTGGCTTGAGCTTATGTTCAGTTGTGCTGTATTTGACATGAGATATGTTAGATCATGTTCCACATTATCTCCTGTGTTGGAAGATAAGATGACATATGGAGGAGGTCTGTGGCTATCCTGGAGATGGACAGAGTACTGGGGAAATAGTCATACAAAGTTTCCAACTTCTATGCTTCCTAAGATAAATGTTAGGTTTGTATGCTAATAGAGAAAGGAATAGATCCAATTCTGATACTTTTAAATTTTCTAGAATAACAAATAATACAAAATACCTGTGTTGCATTGCTTTTGAAATACAGATATCAGAAACACTAACAGCTTTCTTTTCAGCTACATAATCACAAATCAATTTTACCTAATAAAAATTCGAATCCACTGTGTGCCCCATCCCAAACAGGTTCATTTGCTTATTTCTTGTTGGTAATTAGTTAGATCCATCACTGCATGTCACACCATTAAACCTCAGGATGCACAAAACATGTAGTTTACAATTGAATAGATTGCTAAAGTAGTGGTGACAAATTGTAAGCAGATAATGTCAAAATTTAAGACATTTATAGCCTCCAAACTTTCATTGTTATGAAAAATGTAGTCATTTATTTTCAGAATGGGAGCTTGAGTTTTTATAAATTTGTTATTCATTCTTATTAGCTATTATGATCCTACATCAATGGTCAAAACTATTGCTAAATAAATGGTCACTGATCAGTGATTTTTGTCTGTAGAGGCAATCAGGAACTGAGATAAACCAAAAGGTGGTATAATCAAAAAATCATTTTATACTTGGCTCTGAACTCACAGTGGTTATCCTTTTGCCATTAGCAGGTTTATCTTCCTACGTATATTTTTCTTAGGCTATTATTAAACATGGTTGGCTCTCAACTGACTGTGGGGAGATTGTGACTCATATGGATAACAGTGAGAAAGGAAAATGGGATAAGAAGTGAGTCATGGAAAATAAAGAATTGATCATACACTTACACACACACACACACACACACACACACACACTCGTTTCAGTTTATAAACACTATAGTCCCCAAGCAGATGCCCCACTCTGCTGACTGCACAGATGTCCCAGAGCCTGTAGCCAAGCCCTTTACAGACTAGCCCTTTAAAAGACATGCTTGTTACAGAAAAAATAGAAGATATAGAAAATATCATTAACTATCTAGTAAATAACTGTTAAGATTTTGGTATATTTCTGTCCAGCCTTTTTCCTACACACATTTTTAAAGATTTTATTTATTTATTTATGAGAGAGAGAGAGAGAGAGAGAGAGAGAGAGAGAGAGGCAGAGACACAGGCAGAGGGAAAAGCAGGCTCCATGCAGGGAACCCCATGCGGGACTCGATCCCGGGACTCCAGGACCACGCCTTAAGCCGAAGGCAGACACTTCAACCACTGAGCCACCTAGGCGTCCCATTTCCTACACACATTTGTAGGCAAACCCACACCCAGAAAACTGGATCAAAACTGTCTATAAAGACAGTTATATACTATCTTCTATTTCCATAGCACTAAAAATATATCATGAACATTATTTGCAACGACATAATAGTCTATCTATAATAGTAATCATCATTTATCTTACTCTCTTGGATGTTTAGGGGGTTTTGTTTGCTTTTCTAAGTGTGATCATTGTAAATATTATATTTATATTATAAGAATACAAATATTATAAATATATTTGTATATGAGTGCTTATGTCTCCCCGTGTTCTAGAAGACATGTGTATACATTTTTAAAATCTTTACAGTGGGAAAAAAGAAGAAATGGAGGATTAGGGAAAATGAGGGACAATCTGTAGGAAGATGCCCAATATCTTCCATTCAGGCAAAAATTCTGTCTTGTTCATCGGGTTAACTTTAGCAACTAGTACAGTATGTGATTTATGCTAGATGATCAATAAAGTGGATAAAGAAATTAATGAACAGCCATGCTCTCCCATGTGAAACAGACTTAAAACAGAATCTATGGGTAAAAGATTTATAGAAAATATCAGAGTTCTAATATATGGAAGAATTTCATAATAATATTACATACACTACAGAGGAATGGAATTTTTCTAAAGGACTATGTCTCCCTTTTTCAGAAGGTCTCAGGTAGACTTTGGGAAGTTAAGAATATATCCACAAATACGTATTCTGAAATACAGGCAGGCCTGGATCTAAATCTTAAAGTCTTCTTTTCACTCAACCTCTCTAAGCCTGTTTCATCTCTAAAATGAAAATAACCTTATCTACTCCTTTTAAAAATTGAACTAGGATAAGATGGTATATTACTTATAGAAATTGTTTAGCCCACTTTTTGTACATGGTAGGCACTCAGTTCTTTCTGGTTATTTTTATTGTTTTTGTTCCCTGTCCATAACGTAATAGAAAAGACTGCTCCCTGGGATGGGAAGTAATATTTGAAGACTCATAAAGGGCCTTATGAGTAGAAGATGCTATGTTCTTTGGATGGCTCCTTATTTGGTTATAATCATGCTGCTAATGAGATGAGCCAGTTTATTGTAAGCATGTGTGTATGTATACACATGCATATGTGTTTTTCATAGGTAGTCAATTTATTGAATGGGTTAATCTCTAGAGCATCTGAATAAGCAATGGCTCTGTTTTTCTCCAATCACTGTCATTAAACATCCTCAGTTGCTTCTATTTTTCCTGTCCCTGGAGGACACTTCAGAAATATTCCATAGATTCTAAGTTACCACATGCCATGCCATTAGACCCAGAATGAACAAACGTGTGATTTACAATTTAATAGACAGCTGAAGTACTGGTGATAAATACTTCAGCACAGGCCATTATCACATTTTAAAAAAATCAGCCAGCCTGAAATAAAACTTCAATCTCACAACCAATTCAATGTCCCTTCTCTCCTTTGCCCCCAGCCCAGGCCTAACCTTTGGCTTGAAGATATCCAGCGAAGTGCACATGTTCCTTCACAGTTTTTATCCTTGCTTTTCCAGTTTTCTTCCCCACTCCTGTTGCTTGCTTCTCCACTGTTGAGGGCTAAGGGTGAAAGAGTAAATGGAAGAAAGTTGTACATGACTGACAATATTGTATTCGAACTCTTGCCTTCTCTAATGGCAAGCCTCCAAATGCTGGCTTTCTTGGCGGTTGAATTTGAGTTCCTTGGTAATTCCTGGAGATCCTGCACACTACGATTCCTGGATGAATAATGCAATCTCTGGCTGGTGTCTTACAATCTCCTCTTATCTATCACCTCCTAGCCACATATCCCATGCAACTTCTTACTCCAGGGTCGCCTCACTCAAGTAGACAGCTCTCTTGGTTGATCTGTTTTCAAGAGGATTCACATCTATCTTTCACACCATTTATTTGGTCTACCAAGAAAGTGCATTCATTGCCTTGCTAAATAGCGGAAATGCAACTTAACTGTTAACACATCTGCTTTTATCCCACCATTTTGGGTAGCCCAGCTAGCCTACTGCCTTCAGAATTTATCCAGGCAAGAAACAAGTATTGATGTTCATGTTTTCATACAAAAATCCAAACTACTGAGGACACATGACAGGTTCTTCTAATAACACCTTTACTCTCTGATCCATGAGGAACCTGTTGGAATTTCAGCAGCTCAGCAGATACATGACATGTGCAGGAGATGCCAGTCTCTTCTTTTACCAGGGTAGGGGTAAAACATATTCTCCCTATCTTTCAGAGAATAGGGAAAAGGCCACAGCACTGTCAATATCCACAAATCCTATTACTTCAATTAATTATTTTCAAATGTCTAGTCTTCTGTAATGATACAGGGTATTATGTGCAGTGGTCTCTAGATAGCATTTGCTTTGTTCTAGCAAGTCCTGTATCCTTAATGCATATGTGCAGCCTTCCTTCAGAGTGAGACTTTAGTTGACATTCTGAAATGACAAAAATATCCCATTCTCATATTGTTACACTTACAAATAAACATACTTAATCCCTATGAGGGCAAGGACTCCATTG